ACATATACATATATAAGTATATATGCATGCATACATACATATACATACTGTATGATCATATATATATGTGTGTGTATATATATATATATATATATATAGTTCTAAAATGTGGGGGAGACAAGATGGCTGACCTGAGACACCAGCTGCCAGATCTCAGAAAGAAGGAAAAGTTTTAGATGAAAAGCAGAAACAATTAGATCCATTGTAATTCTTGGGGGAGAGTGCTGGAACCTGCAAGATATTCTATGGGAAGAAGTTGTGGAGCAGAACAATAGGAGCAAGATATCATCAGAGGTCAACCCCCTAGAGGCTTGGAGTCCTGTGAAAAGAGTAGATGAAGTGGTTTGGTTTTGCCTCCCTCACATCTCTGGCAGTCAGCAGGCTCCTGAACTGCTGGAGAGCCTTTCTACCCTCATGAGCCCAAAAGCCGCTGCCACCAGTGAACTGGTAGCTTCTTGAGGACAAAGCACTAGGCTGCCAGCCCCCTAGGGGTGTTTCCTGTCACTACAGACCCAAGCCAAGATGGCAGGTGCCACGTTGCTTCTCCACCTGCTGTATGCCTTTGTCTTCCTCACAGGGCTTCAGCCCCTCAGTTTTCATCTTACTTGTTCCCACATAAACATTTCCCAACTCCAGCCCAGACTGCAGGAACCTCAGGGGCCCAGTGAGTCCTGGGGGATCTGCGTGACCACAGAGCCTGGACATGTTGGGTGGGCTGCCTCTGGAGAGAGGGACAGAGACGATCAGAGTGCTAGCTTACCTCCATTCAGACTCTTTTCCTCTCCTTCCCCGCCCACACCCATGGCTACTGAGAGAGACGCTTGAGCTGGGTCTCTCAGCTGCTGCTTCCCTTCTTTTGGGGTTACCACAGAGAGTGGGGTTCAAACCTTTACCTACCAGTGTGAAACTACCCAAAAGCTAAAGCTCAGAGCTCATATAAAACAATATAGCACAAGAGGTAAAACAAAGCAATAAGGTACTACCCAATAGGATGAACAGAACAGCATCCCAAGTGTCAATGCTGTCAATCAATGTGAACAGTCTGAATGTGACACTCAAGAGACACAGGCTGGATGAATGGATAAAAAAATACAACCCATGTATATGCTGTCTCCAGGAAACACATCTAACCCACAAGGGCTCTTACAGACTCAAGATGAAGGGATAGAAAAAATACTCTGTGCAAATAGAAACCAAAAGAAAGCAGATATATAAAGTTGACTTTAAATCACTGATAGTAAAGAAAGACAAAGATGGCCATTATATAATGCTAAAGGGAACAATTCAACAAGAAGACATAATAATCCTAAATATTTATGCACCTGACAACAGGAACACCCAGATTTATAAGGCAAACCCTACTAGATCTAAGCAAAGAGATAAACAGCAGCATAGTAATGGGCCAGGACTTCAACACGCCTAAGAACCGGACAGATCATTCAAACAGAAAATAAAGAGACACGGGACTTAAACAGGACTCCAGGACAAATGGGCCTAACAGACATTTGCAGAACATAGAAAGATTAGAAATTTATTGTAAGCAATAAGAACATTATACCAGAGAATATCCTATGCCCACCACCTTTTCTTTTCCTTTCTCCCTTCTATATTAGCTAAACAATACCCTTTCTGATTCTGATGTTTTGACCTAGTGTCATCTTAAAGAAAATTAAAATGTTAATTGTTGTTTTAATCTGTTTTCAAAGGAATACTATCTAACATTTATAGTATGTTTTTTATTGAAAGGTGTTATTGTCTGCACTAACATCAAATGTGTATTAATTTAGCCAATATTTGACTATTATTTAATCCTCATAACAACATATTAAGGTAGGTACTAGAATTATTTAGGAAGATTGGCTAAACAGAAATAGTATAGAAGTAGGGGGCTCCTTACCCTCTCAAGAAACTATGATCACTGAAATAGAGAAGGAACAAAATAACTGTAACAAAAATCTCCATTTCATAAAGGGAGAATGGTGAAATAAACAGCAGCGATTGGTCCATAGCAGATAGCTAATATTTCTGGTCAAGAATAACAAGGATTCCTTTCTCCAAGAGTGGAACAATTTTGTTAATTAGCTGCTCTGGCAATCTATGATTCTTTTCTGTAGGGTAGTCTCCCTTGTTCATTGTCCTGTTATTGTTAGTGAAGGTATAACTTTGTGTTTTCTTTCCTGAGTATAATTTGTGAAAATATAAAACTTGCTCAGTCTTCAACCTGCTACTATGACATCTAGGAATTTCCCATAAGGCTGTAATTGTACAAGTTCACAAAGATGCATCCACAAAAATAAAGATTTTTTTTTAAAGTGAAAAATTAGAAACAATATAAATGTCTATAAATAGGAGAATGATAAAACATATAGAAATTTAACAAAAAAAATAGTATAGACTTATATGGAAAAAAGTCAATACTATATTGGTAATCTCAAAGATTACAGAATAGGATTTATATATAAACTCATTATATAAAATATTTTCATAAACAGCTCTTCAGAAAGATGTTTATTTAAATGCTGTCAGTGATTTTCTTTGGGTAATGGGACTTTGGGGGAAATTTTTACTTTATATTTTTCTCAATGAGCGTATCTCAGTTTTACAAAAAGAAAAATCAAAATATATTTCAGTGAACTTTATATGGTTCTTGATTAGCCTCTTGTGGATTATTAGATTGTTCACCTTATAAATTAACTATGTTTAATTTTAAGGCCTAACTTTTCTCCATGCCATTCGGTATTTTTCTGAATCATCTGTCCTAATATCAACTGCTATTCAGAAAATTATTTTAGTAGTACTCTGAAAAGAACAGAATCAGAAGTGTTCATTAGTCAAATTCTATTACAGTGAAATAGAAGTGAGGTTTTAACTGACCTACTACTTGCATTGCGTAGCTTTTAATTATTATCGGTGATAAGTAGGTGATATTATAGGTGATAACCATACTGGGCCTGCTTTTAATATTAGGTAATTACTACAACTGATAATGAGTATATAGAATGTGATTATTGTTGAAATGATTCATTAAAGACCTGGCAAGTTACCTAGCCTAAAGTCTCAAATCACTCATCCGAAAATGAGTATAATGTGGAACAACACAGTAGTTTGTTTTGAGAATTTAATGTGGTACCATTACACATAGAGCACTTTTAACAGTGCTTGGAACCTCAGAAGTGCTCAAAAACATGTTAGCTATGATTACCTGTGAGTATGAGAAAAGCTAGAAACGTAATTGTAATTTTTCAAGTGGATCAATGATTTTACTTAGGATATATTTTAAGTAGAATGCTTCTTTCAAATGGTAATTTTAGATTTATTCTTGTATAAACAAGCTCAGAAATTGTCTCTTATTACAGTATTCTACCAGAATTATGAAATGACATTTAGTAATGAATTTTCTAAACATTACATTGTCATTTTAGCTAATATACCCTCTTCAAATTTAATTCTTGTTGGACCACTGAGGAAATTTGGCCCAATTATAATAAATTACTTAATGGATTTCCATTAGTCTAACTAGCAAATGTAAGAATTCTTTTTAGGGAACAATTATTCTCAAAGTTATGAAAGACTGAAAAGTTTATTCTATATGTTAATTCCAATAATTTTTGTTTTATTTGTGTTATATTTATGTCCCTTCCCAAGCCTAAACTGAGTATTTTCAGTCTTATAGAATTGTATGTATTATTTTTAAGTCTAATTATTTGCCTGGTATATTATCTTTGCATATTTTCTCATGTGTGTATTTTAAATAGGATTAGATATTGTTTTCTGATCCTGTGAAATTCTGTATGCATCTAGAGTTACATAGAATAAAAACTTAGAGTCTCCGTTATTATTACTTATACATTATGTGGCAAGTCTACTTATTTGTTAGTCAGCTGCCTTTCTCAAATTCATATGGTACTAATAATTTCTCAGAATCATGTCATGATTTGTATCACAGTTGGATTTGTTTTTAAGGAAAAACCACATCTTTCATGTGATTTTTCTTTTTGCTCTCTTGAAAAACATAGATGAAATGTAACATTAAAATTAAAAACAGGAATAATAGAGACTGGTCACTTACTTCCAATATAGACTGCCTCCCTAAAAAAAAAATAATTTAAATCAGAATAACTTTGAAATATATAAATCTGTTATAAAATATTGTGTATCAGAAGGAGTTCATATGTAAAGGACATTTGGATATAAATGGCATTTTAAATCTGTGAAAATATCTTACTTGCCTTTTGTAACTGAATGAAAAATCTGTGTGAGTAGCAATATATATTCTTTGGTTTTGTTTCCACATCAGAGTACCACTGTTCCAGAGCAGTATGTGGCTCATCTTTATTGGAGGTCTTGAGGCTGCCAGAGTTGAATGTTCTTAGAAAGTTCCATTCAAACTCAAAGTATGAGTCCATGATAACTGGTTGATATGGTTCTGTGTGCTTTTCACTAGCACCTTGGAATAAAAGTAAATATATGAGTTCTGTACACATTAATATTTAGCTATTATGTAATATTTCTTTGACTTCATAGATTTATTTTTTGAATTCGTGGTAATATCTGGGGTGAGGACTGCTATAAATCTTTCAATTTCTTTAACATTGGTTTACTGGAAACACAATTTCTTATGATAGTCATTCATCAGCCATTTTTTTCTCAGTCATCTAAATGCTTCTGTTGCTGCAAGCTAATTATAATCACTTTAGTGAGTAATTTTTCCAAATTTCATTTTGGAGAAAGACATTTTATTGTTTTCCAGTCATTTTTCCAATTTGGAGTAGTTATCCTTAAGGTGGGTCTCATGTCATATACTTTGTCGAACTTGGAGCTAATTGTAAAAAGGTGACTTTAATGTTTTTGGCTCCTAAGCCTTCATTTTAGCAAACTTATTGTTTCCTCCAGTAACTACTTCAGTACTTCTGGGCAAATGAATTCTACCAGCTCTTCTTCTTGTTAATAGATAATCTGTCTCAGAGCCATAGTCACAATTCAGTTGTCTTTTCTTGCAGCATCAGAGGCTTCTGGAAATGCTAGATACAGAGAAGGAACTGTTAAAAGAAAAAATAAAGGAAGCTTTGATTCAGCAATCTCAAGAACAGAAGGTAATACTCTAAGCGTGCTCATAGTGTGGAAAGAAAGTGCTTTGTTACCTCAAATAATACATTTAGTGTTTTTCCAACTGTCTTATCATTTACAGGAATTATTGGAAAAATGTTTGGAGGAAGAAAGGCAAAGAAATAAAGAAGCATTAGTATCTGCTGCAAAGGTATTTCCATCTGTAAATATGGGTTTCTTTGTAAGTAAGTGGAATTAAAAAACTAAGTTCATTAATAATATTGTCAATCTACTTTTGTATGTTTCATTCCAGAAAAATCAGAAAGATTTTTATCCTTATTTTTCCTTTTAAATTTAGGATATGACTATTCATATTCTTATTAAATTCACATCTACAAGATTATGATGGCATTGAAATGCTTTACAATAACGATTATTAATTACTTGTTAAAAGAACATGTATGTCAGGATGCTAATATCTACCTGGTATTTGAATAAAATAACTCACCTAAATAGTGTATTCATACATATGAAATATATACACACCAGCAAATACATTTGTAGCACTAACTTTTGTGTTATAGATTTAAAATTAAATGTAATAAATATTAAACATCTCTTATGTGCATATCACTATAACAGGGGTGAAAATTTAAGAATGACTATGATTTTATCTTTCTCTTAAAGAATTTACCATCAGATAAGTAAAATGTTATTTATATACCAATAAGACAAGGAGGTGTTTGTTAAATTATTACAAGTGTGTATATAGTATGTCTATGGTATAGAAGTTTTTAAACAATAAATTACTTTTGAAGTGAACCTTAAAGGATGGCTAGCATTCTGAACTAAGCGTGAATTTTATTCCATAGGTAAGGGAGACACCCAGCAGCGGTAGGGAACCTGCGGCCTTCTGATTTCAAGATTGTTCTTTTTTAAACACCAAAGGAGGCAAAAAAAAGCTTCATCTTTCTCTACTTCTTTTCTCTGCTCTGTAAAGTTTGGATTCAGTCAACAGGCCACACTTAAGGACCTAGAAGGCCACATATGGCCTTAAGGCTACAGGTTCTTCACCCCTAGATAGGAAAGAATTAATAGAATGCATCAGAATTCTGGATAAGAGATAGTGGTAGAAATAGAATATTAGTAGTAGCTTGGAAATGAAAGAAATAGGTAAATTCTAAAAATAATTAGGAGATGGAATCAACATGTATGTTTTGTATAGACGTAGAAGACTAAGTTGTAAACTCCAGAGTATAGATTTAAGAACAAAGTGGAGAGAGGTACTTTTTAACTGAAAATAGAGTTTGAAGTGCTCTAAAAAAATAAAATCAAGGTTTTGAAAAATGTGTATCTGCTTTCCAGTACTTAAAGACTTTCCTGCTGAGATTCATGGTGATATTAGGAAATGTGGCTTTTTAAAATTATAGAGAAATAACTCAATGTATTTCTCAATGTGTAATTCAATGAATCAATATTTTGTAAAAATCAATGTTAAAAATTTATACGTCAATGAAAAATTCACACTATAGGAAAGGATTGTAATGTAACAGTATGAAAATTTTATTTGACATAATTTCATTTTGCTCCTTTTTCTCCTACGTATCTGTGTGAGATGGATTTTCTTTATGTATTTCAACCAAAAAACATATCATTACAGATATGATATAGAAGGCAGATATAAGAATTTAGCTATCTTCTATTAAATCAAATATTATAGAGGTTAAAGAGATTTATAAATAACATATAATGATGCCATACTCACTTTTTGAATTTTAGAAAATATAGTTATTTTTATAAAATATATTATTTGTTAATATATAATGCATTTAATGGTATTAATTTCAAATAAATTAATAAACAGTTTATTTTTTCTTGATTTGAATTTCTAATATGATAAATGTTAATACAGTATAACCAACATTTAAGAAAAGCTCCTTGACATCCTCAATAATTTGTGAGATTATAAAGGGGTCTTAAGACCACATAGTTTGAAATCTTCTACTTTAAGCTAAAGCTTGATTTCTTTGAAGTTTAGAAATACCATGGAAGTATGTTGGAATATTTCTATAAAAAAGAAATATATATTTTATTTCATAGCCATTATTTACTGCATAAAAACAGCAATGTCAGAACTAAACCATGTAGAATCAAAGTTTTGTGTCTTTTAGGTTAACCAAGTCTATCTTATTCAAGGCATCATTGTGCAGTCACTCATTCAAATATTTTTGTTCTGGTCATTATTTATTCTGAAGCTTGAGAAAGAAGCAATGCAAGATGCTGTTTTTAAAGCCATAGAAGAAGAGAGAAAAAATTTGGAAAAAGCCCATGCTGAAGAAAGGGAATTATGGAAGACGGAACATGCAAAAGATCAAGAAAAAGTATCTCAGGAAATTCAGAAAGCTATACAAGAACAAAGAAAAATAAGTCAGGTTAGTAAAATTAACTCTTTGTAAATATTTTATTTTATTTTTTCTCAAAATGAAATGTCCTTACTATTATTTTATCTTACTTAAAGTCACCTTAGCGGACATAGCATTTTAAAATTTTTTTGGTTTTGATACTAATATTTTGAATTAACAACTTTTAATATTTCAATGTGCCTTCATCTTTCTGATATTGAAAACTTGGTAACTTAACCATTTTACCTTTTTGTTTTATTTTCAGAAAGGTCAGAATTCTAATTTATGTTTAATCATTGCAACTACATTAAGCTTTCTGATTTTTCTCCTTTTCACAAACACACACGCACGCACACACACAAAATACCAAAAGATATATTTGCATAGAAAGACAGTTTGATTCAATTAATTTATAATTTTACTTTCTAAAATTATAATTATGCCTAATTATACCTTTAATTGGTAGCAATAATTAATAAAACCTCTCATATATTCCTTTTGGTCTCATTAGAGATATATGAAGATCAACAAGCATGTCCTACGTACAAAATAATTTTGATTACTTATCTGAAAATTAAAAACTCTACCTTACTTTTATTTTCTATAATTAAATTTCCATGGTTTTGTTTTACTTGTATTTATTCTTTTATTTATGAAGGCAGAGATACTTAAATAAATCTTCCCTTAATCGAGTATAAAAAACAAAAACAGCATTCATAGAAGTCTCTTTCATATGGTCAAACTTCTATGATATACTTCCATTGTTCATCAACCATGCATTATAAATGTAGAAAAATGACTAACTTTTGAGAACAAACTAGATTTTTTTAGACTCATTAATTATCCTGATAGAAGTCCTAAAAACTTAGTATTTCCAGTATCAAGCATAAATGTTACATTTTTAAAGACGTCATTTAAGTTTATTCTCAGGAGCACGTAGTTACCTATTATAGAAATTAACAGGTCTGTAGGGTAGCATCTATGGTAAGATAAGAGTAGCTACTACTCTTATGCTTTTTATCATTAAAGTAATAATTTCCTTCTAATTCTTACTTTATCCTATAAATAAAATATATTGAACACCTATTGTATAAAAGATGTTTGTCTGTTAGTTTAGTTGGTTGAAATTCCATGCCAGTAATGTCAAGTTCATTGGTTAAGTTCTTATTTGGAGAATTTATTTAAAATTATTTTGTGACCACAGACCACTCCTCTAACCTCATGTAAATGATAGCTATTAATCATTATGAAATTGGGCAAGAGGGCATGAATAAATCAGCATATATTCATCACCCAAATGAAAAATATACATCTTAAAGAGCACACCTCTCTGCTGGTTTGCCAGGAGTCTCTAAGAAATGCTGAAATATATTATATACTACTTTAAAATTTGTTCCCTAAAGGATCAGAGTATGGTGAAGATAGTCCAAATATGTCTTGAATAAGTACATTATGTTTGTTTCTTACATATGTTTTTACTTTTTGCTAGAGATTGTGAGAGAGAGAGAGAGAGAGAGAGAGAGAATGTGTGTGTGTGTGTGTATATATATATATATAATTGCTATGTGGCTAAAAAGTTAAACAGGGAATATCTATACCAGAAAACAATATTGCCAGGTAACTCTCAGGTTTGTGAAAGTCAGGCAGCAGTGTAAAATACACTCAAAGTTTTCTTTCAACAGCCCATTCCTTTTCTTTTCATAAGGTTGAGTTTACTACAGCCAAACAACTGTCATTCCATTAGTCCCTTAAAGCTGCATAGTCCTATCCTAGACTATTTATCAATAAATTACTTTTTAGGGGGGCTAGATGAAACTCAGATCTCTTTTATTTAGACCAGCAGGATAATCAAACAAATTTCTATAGTCAAAGTTTTCTTTGGTGTTCTATATTAATAATAGAAATGATTGTTCATATTGTGCCTATAATATTTTATATTAATAATAGAAATGATTGCCTACTGTACTGTAGGCACTGTACTTATTTCTGTGGATAATAACAGTGGAAAAAAATTCCTAACCCTATCTTATGAAGAAGACTAATAGGAAACTAATAAAAGTATAATGTCAATTAGTGGTCAGTGTCATGAAAAATAAAGCTAGAGAGTGAAGGAACCAATATATAAAGAGAGAGTAGTCAGGTAAGAGACCTTGAAGAGCTAGCATTTAAGCTGAAGCTTGCATTGATGTGAAGAGTTTGCTTTATGAATAGCTAGGGAAGGAGTATTTGAGGAAAGAATAGTATTTCAGAAGCAATCCCTGAGGCAGAAAGATACTTGATGTAATTAAAATTATATGCCTTTGTTATAGGAATAGACAGTCCTGTCAGTGGACCAGGATAGAATCCAGAAATAGACCTAACTTTTCTGTAATTTTCAAATCTGTAAAGATGATGTTACAAATTAGATAGGATAAAATGAACCTTAGCAAATTAGGGGTTTTAATCTGGATACCATGGAAGAGGGCCTATAAAGTGTGTGAATTTATTGAAATTATGCAAAACTGTGTATATGTTCAGATTTTTATGCAGAGATCATTCATAAATTTTGTGACATTCTTAAAAGTATCTTACTAATTAACCCAGAAAAGATTACAAATAATTTCAGCTGGTTGTCTTTATCCTTCTGGATTCTATAATAAAATGAATTCCAAATAGATTAAATATTAATATGTTAATCTAATGTAGTAAAAAGAAATTGAACAAATATTGATACTCTTTAAAAGGAAGAGTCTAAGCAGTTCTTCTGGAATGGTGGACTAAGGACCTCTACTAATTAGTTTCTTTATAAAGGCAGTGAAAAAACACTCACAAAAATTGTCAAAATCAACTCTTTCAAAACTCTAAATATTAACCAAGGACTTGCAACAGTCCAAATATTTATTCAAGAAAAATGGTTAAATCTTACTAAGAACAGCAAGATTTGTAGTCTCTTTACTTGTTCTATTCTCATTGCCTTCCCCCTGGGTCCATGGTAGCTTTAAAAAGCAGTACCCTAGCAACCACAATAATTATGAAAACCCACAATGTAGAGATCACTGGAAGGGAAGACTAGGTTTGGAGTTCCAAAAGAGCCACGTCCCAGAGAATTGTTACTATTGACCTGTCTGACAGCTCCCTCAAAAGTTCCCTTTTGCAAGGCTTCCTAATATTTGACCTGACTCAAGACTCATTCAGTGAGAGAATCCCTATCCCCAGGATATGTGTCAAAAACAATAACCAACAGTCATTTATCTTCTCAGATACCTGGGACTGAAATACCAGTTTGGGCAAAAAGAGGCTGGCCAAAATATCTTAAAAAGAAAATCTGAGAGAGAATTGTGAATGTTATAAGTGGCTTTGAAAATACTCCTGGAAATCTTGAAAGTCACACACAAGTCCAGAAAAGACCTCAGAAAGACCTAATCTCTAGCTGACTTTGACTTTGATTCTTTCCAAGCAGAAAGTGAAGGCTAAGGTAGAGTTATAAACAGCCAGCATGTGGAAGGTGTGTCCCAACACACAGAGACCCTTGTAAAAGGATAGAAGACTTATTGGTTGAGGTATTTAAGGAAATCTCTGTTCAATCTTTAGCTGACCACTAAGCTAACCTGTAAGAGATTTCAGTGGCTAAATGTAACAAGGAATGCAGATTTTGCAGAATTGGTCCAGAAAAGTTATTTTCTAAACAGACAAACAACAGCAACAACTGCATCAAAAAACAACAGTAATTTTGGGCAGATAGAGATCTGATTTCTTAGTTCCCACATTCCATTATTTTAAAAGTCCAGTTTTTATCAGCATCAGAGGAATTATGAGATTTGCAATCACAAAGAAGTTATGTTCTATACAGAGGAAAAAATGCAGCCGATAAAGACTACCTGGGTGTTGGACTTTATAGACAAAGTTTTAATCTGCCATTATAATTATATTCAAAAAAACCTAAAGGAGACTATTGCTCAAGATTTACAACCCCTCATTTTATATATTATGTGTGTGCTCTTCAGAAATTAGCACTGGCATTTGTTGAGGGACTGCTCCATTAGTTGTTAAAAGTGCACCCACTTTGCTGAAAATGCAAGGGAGCAGATACATGGGTGCACACTTACTTGTCTTTCAGCTGTTATCTGTGAGTACTCATCATTTTGTTGGAGAGAAAATGCCCTGTCCTCCTATCTTCAAATTTATACTTATTATATAAATTGATTAATGTACTTACTTGATTGACTTTCCCACTGATCTTAGAGCTTCATAAATGTCTCAATCATATTAATACTCTTAGGAGGCTGTAGCATAGTGTCTAATTCATAGTATGTGTTCCAGAAAACTGATCATTATCTTTGAACAAGGGCCAAACTCTCATTCAGTTAACTCTGTATTAGTGAGCACATAATTAACTAAATGTAATTTAATAATTGACAGTGCCATAGTCTCTTCATGACATCATCAGGTACCATGTGGCCTTTATGTAGTAATTTTCCTGTCTGTCTTCTATAATACGGAGCTGTCAACACAGAAATCCTATAAAATTTCTCAGCAAATACTGGACTTTTCATATCTACGAATAGATGTGTTTTATCAGAGGGAAATATGGGGATAGAGTTCAGATGAGTTTTCAGGGCTGAAGATAAAAATTTGCTATTAATAAGCACATAGGTGTTATTTAAAGCCAAATAAATAACGAAATTATTTTTGGGATGGAGCTCTGTGTGACATTTTCACTTAGAAAGAAAACAGCCACTTCAGATTAACTGTGTAATAGTGGAGATAGTCTCACACTTAATAATTGCTGTATTTCAGATGAAATAATGAGTGTATTGAAGTTATTAGTGCTTTCTGTATCACACTATTACCCATGATTAAGTGGCCAGGCCTTCATCAGAACTTTCTAGGAAGCTCAGTGTCACCAGTGTGAATGGCAGCTTCTGCTGCCTTCTTCTTAGCCCCTTCCTGGTTACAGAGACCAATGCTCTTTCTGTCCTCTAGTTCTTTGGCAGCTAGTTGGGATACATAGAGCCTGAAGAGCCACTCTCCAGGGACCTGCAAATTGCTTA